CTGGTCCTACAACACAGCCACAGCTGCCACCCCTGTGTTGGTGTATGGACATGCCAGAAGCACTTATGGTCCCCCTGACAAATTCTGTTGACAACCAACTACTCTGCACAGCCCCATGGTGAGACAACTGTATAATGCTTCTTGCTATCTGTGTGGCACAGAAACCACAGCATGGATTTATGCCACTTCCCTGAAGTGCCTGGGATCAGAGCAGTGTGATCTGCAGCTGATGGAAAAGATTCAGCAGCAAGATTTTCCTGACCATGAATAGGCCATGTGGCCTTTGGAGGTGTCCCTCTGCTGCTCCCAGCAGAGCAGCTCAGAGGTGACTGAGCTTCTGAGTGTTTCAATTTAAGCTCCCAAAGCAAGAGAGGAGGAGCTGCTGCCCATGTTACACCTCGCAGCTCTGCTAAGGAGCATCCAAACCCAGGTGTGCCCAGCAGGCGGGGATGCAAACCCAAAATCCCATCTCCACATCCCTCTGCACTCAGTGCTCTGATCTGGTTGACAAGGTGGGGATCGGTCACAGGTTGGACTCAATCTTGGGAGTCTTTTCCAGCCTAAACGATTGTGTGATTCTGATTGTTCAAAACTCATTTACAAACTCTTTCACATCTCCAGTCACACCTTAGCAGGTGTGTAGGCCCAGACTCACACACTTGAGAGATTTACCACCTCAAGTGGGATCTAGACCACAATTTTAGGAAGAGGCAAGACTTCAACGACTAAACGGAGAATATCCAACTCTGCGAGAGCATCCATGTCCAGTCTGTGGGACACAGGATGGACATGAACTAAAAATGGCACAAAAAAGACATCCTGCAGGAAGGTGTCTCCCCCTCTTTTGACCATAGAGGGAGCTGAGTCTCCAGTGTTAACCACTAAAAAAGAAAATAGAGAGCGCTCAAGCTCCGCGTCCGACTCCCAGAAATTCTATTGGCCCCACTTCCCAGCACAGTACCAAGACCTCCCACGTAGAGGAAAAAGGCAACGTAGATTAAATAATTAATGCTGCTGGATACTGTTTTCCCCTAAACTACAGATGATCACAGAGGAAAAAAAAAAAAACCCTAAAGATGATTGATTGCTCTTGCTGGCACAATAAGAGAAGGAGAAATCAGACAGGACTATTCTCCATCATTCTGCAGAGGCTCTGTCAAACACTCTACCTCCTGCCTTTCAATGAATAATAAATTGCTTTTAAGAAGTAACTTTTATGTCAGTGAGCATGTTATTATTGATTAATTCCATGCTGGAAAACACTCTTCAACCGCTGCTGCTCTTTGCATCGCCCGAAGAGTTTAGAGGTTGCTGTCTAACAAGCTCTTGAGTCATATCTTCCTTGTCAATCTTATCAACCCCTTGTTTAATTGTAAAAATGTTAATAAAATGCAGCAAGCATTGGCCTAATGCCTCAGGACTCACATATCTCTTCCAGAGAGAGAAACAAGAGATTCTTCAGCTGTACTTGAGGCTTGTAAAACATCATTTCAATTCTAAGCAAGTGCTGGTTCTCTCAGAGCCACAACTGGTGGTTTGATGGATAACAAGACACACATGTCATGTCAGGAAAGCCTCCACGATTCCCTTATATCTGAGGAATATCAATTTAAATACCAGTTAAAGAGCAAGACCCCCCTGGGACCACTCATGACTTTGTTCTCTGTCCTCACTATGAGAGACAGTGATGCTCTTGGTGGCAGCACAGATTAGGAGCAACTGGAAGATGATCCCAGCATTGGCTCTTCTGGCCATTTTTGGTATTTGTTCATGAAGCCTGTTCTCATTTCCAGCTAGCTTTGATCACGCTGGTAAGTGCAATATCTTGCTTTCAATGTCAGGATGCTCAGCAAAGTAACAGGAGAGCCAACACGAAGGGGAGCCTGGTAGTTACATCCCAGCATGTAAACAAAGACATTGCTGATGGTATCGTGTGTGTTGAAAAATTGATGGCCAAACAGGACCTGAATGAATACTGAGACAAAGCTTTGCACATCCTCTGGATACTCCTGATGTCCCCAGGGGTGGCACCCGTGTCCTCAATGACGCCACTGCTGTCCCTGTGATGATTTCGGAATATAAATACAGTGATACCTGAAAGACCTCCCCCCTTCACAAGCAATCCATAATTATGTCATGATTTGGGGGTCAAAGAGCATCTTGGATTTTATTCGTGGAGCAAGATTGCCATCTAGCGTCCGTTTCTTCTGGGAGGGGCAGTCATTTTTGCAGACTGGTCTTCTCTCTTGACAGGCATCCCAGCATCTCTGATTGATCCGTCTGAGCTCTAACCTCTAACTAAATGTCCTCGGACCAGCTAAGACACATCTATTCGTCGTTGGTTAAAGATAACTAGGACGACTTCCCATTAGCTTAAACAATATTTAAATGAATTTCTTCTTAACAGAATAATCTCTTATTGAACAAGTTTTCTGAGGCATGTAAGCTGATTTCTTGAAGGTGGGCATAAGATACACTCTCTATTAGTTTAAATGTATCATCTACCTTCTACATCCTGAAACTAATTATAGTCTTAAAAGAAAAGACCACTACTATGCCAAGAAAGCAAATCCTTTTGTTGATTAGGATATCATTTTTATCTAAGCTAAAACTTCTGATTTACTGAGTCATTTAGAAAGGAGACCCACTCCCATTTCAGTGCCTTTGTGACAATATAGGGCCTCATGTAACCAATGGAACACTGAACACTGCAGATTCTCATGGAATCAAGGGGCCATTGTGACACTCTAGGGCCTCATGGAAGAGGGAGGCCCTGCAGAGAGACCTCAAATGAGAGGCTTGGGCAATCATCAACCAGAGGAAGTTCAGTACGGGGGAGAGCTGGATTCTGTCCCTGGGATGGGGCAACCCCAGATGTCTGGATATTCTGGGAATGACATGCTGCATAGCAGTGCTGGAAGATGGCCTCTGGGGTCCTGGTGGATTGACCAGCTGGCCAAGAATCAGTGGTGCCCTGGTGGGGGCTCACTGCTCGGTCACACAAGGGTTTTCAGACACAGGAGTCCTTCCCTTGCACACACACAGACAGACAGTTCATGGCAGCAGGGGCAGTATCTCCTGGGGCTCCTGCTGCCACGCCTGGAGCCAGGATGTACCTCAGCCCTGTGGGGTGCCAGCTGCTCTGCCACTGTCTGAGATGCCCCACGGCCTGAGAGATGGACATGGGCAGCTCTGTCCACAGAAGCACATCCCAGAGCTGCATCCAGGGGCTTTGCCAGGGTTTTGTACTGTAAATACAAAGTGACACCGAGACACTCTTTGTCCCACATAACTTCAAGGCTCCCCCAGCAGGCCGATGGCATTTGTGCTTGCCCAGGGTCACCTCCCCACACCAACACCAGAGATGTGCTCAAGGCTTGTCTGTGCAATGCAAAGAGAGTCATCCTGTCTAGTCCTTCCGTGTCTCTCCCAGGAGGGATAAAGAACCTCTGCAGGCTGGGTGAGAAGCCAGTGCTGGAAGTAGTGGTTCTGTTGTGAGTGCCAACCAAGAGTGGTGGGCAGGTCTGTGATAAATGCCCTGGGGAGCTGACCTGGGTTTTCCAGTGCACATGGGAATAGACCACACCCTGCCCTGCTGGTCTTTCATGTCTCTCCCAGGAGCCTGGAAGTGCACAGACACTGCTGGGTTCTTTCACCTAACACAGTGCCACCCTTGAGAGGTTCACTGGTGTTTTTTCTCCTATGTTCTTGAGAGAGAACTTATCAGAAGACCTAAACCTTCAGGCACTACCCCGAGGAGATCCCTTGGTAGGATGGATGTGCTGTTGCAGAGGGCAGCTGTGCCACAGAAGTGCTAATTGCCTGGCCCTGCCTGCAGGCCAGAGGGCTGACACACTACAGCCCTTAGGGACAGCTCTGGAAAAACCAAAGGCTGATGCTCCCTGGCAGTGCTGCTGTGCTGGGGCTCTTTCCCCTCCACCTCTGGACACAGATATTGCAACTGCAGTTCCAGAGAAGGTTTCAAAAGTGGGATTACAAAACTTGCTGAAAAAGAGATAACAGCTCCTCATTTGCACAGTCTGTGGGACACAGGATGGACATGAACTAAAAATGGCACAAATAACAATATTTCTTTGGGGCAGTATTAAATAAATTTAAAAAATAAAGTAAAAGCTCACAGTGATTCTCAGCACAACCCTGAAAATCTGCACGTGGGAAACAAAAATTAAACAAAACACCCAAATACTATACAGACATCAAACACAAGAAGCCCAAATTCCTCCAGGTGGTCGGATTCTGTGCAGGAGATCTTGTCTGGGAGATTTCACAGAAGAACCTGTCCAGGGCATTTCCCTGGCAGAGAGAGATGGAAAATGTACTTGGCAGTGTGCAGAGCTGCATGAACTGACACACTGGCCTGGGGGCACAAGCTCTGCTTTGTGCAGACAAAGACTGCTGCCCTGTGGGCAAAAGCTCTGCTGCCCAGGAGGGTCCTGTAGTGCAGGACTTTGCAGATGGCAACTCAGCGGTTGTAGGATGTGATGGTGAGACAGAAATACTCTGCTGAAATAAAAAAACAAACGTGGGTAGAGCCTTTCCCAGCCATGATATTTCTTGTGCCTGTTATTGAAATGTAGAGCGTTTGTCTTCACTACCAATACCACGGAGGGAATAAAACACAGCATCACTAACTCAGATTTCAGCTTTTATTTACAGATTTTAGATGGTAACATTGTAGAATATTCTTTCTTTTATAAAAAAATATCTTATAAAAGCTGGTTGTTATCTACCATTACTGGAGAGCCGTGCTGATGTCAGTGAGTATCAGTATTCATAGCTTGATTAACTGATTGCTGTTCCACAGTTCAGCCTATACCTGCAGTGATTATTTCAGTCAGTTCTGAGAGACAATGACTCCTCTCTTACCTGATCACCTTTCCATTGGACCCTTCCATGGGTTTTTAGGGCTTTCAAATTTCAGTGCTAACACTGACTGCAGCGTTAACGTAACAGGATAGAGACGTGACAACCAAAAGGGATTAAATATAAAATACTTAACCATTTTACTCCTCTGTTTTTTTCAACTTTAACTTTGCCTTGCTACCCAAGGAAGTTCTGGCTGTCCCAGCTTGCTTTGCAGTTCCAGCAGGCTTCTTTTTTAGCCTTTTCTTTTTGGAACGCACCAGGTCCTCACGTCCCAGTTCAACCATTTTTGCTTCCCACGACTTCATTTCGTTCTCATACCGAACCTTGTCGTCTTCGGCAAGCTGCAGGTATGGCTAGAGGAAAATAAGGTGTCAACAGTTACAGAAGGGGCTTTGTCTGGAAAAGTGCCATGGCACAAAGGTGACTTAGAACAACACCCTGGGCACTGGCACAGCCCAAGTATTTGCGTTCGCCTCCGGATAATTAAAAAAAAAAAACAAAAAAAAAATCAAACTTGCAGAAAAATACAAAAGTTTAGCATTAAATTATGGTTATGTCAAGAGCTGCCCACTACTGAAGAGGAAGTTTATTCAATATTGCTACTAGCAGCTAAGGCTTTTTATCTGAGCACTAGTTTGAGAGAGGTGGATTCTGTGATGAACAGGAATAGATATCGCTGCAGAATTATTCCAGGTTTTTTTCTACAGTAAGATCATGAACCTAGGGTGTGTCCTAAGCACACTCAAAACTGATCTGGACAAAGGTCATTTGGGAGGAAGAACAGTAAGGTACAGAATACCTAAACTGTGACATTTTCAGATTAGATTTCAGTGTAGCAGCTCTCATTTTTCATAAGGCCATGTGCAGATTTGTATTTCAGTACACTGAGAAAGCTGGCAGAGAATAATCCCCCAGACAACCAAAGTTAATAAATTACCCTATGCACATCATTTGTAGATTTGTTGCTTTTCCCTGTCAAAAGTCTTTCTATGAGCAGCAAATTATTATGATGATGTTTAAAGATATCATGTATTATTAGGAAAAAAAACAAATTGTTGCACATTATTTCACCTTTCCCTCTAGATGCTGCTCAACATCCACTACCAGGCACACTGAACTTCCATCCTATCCCACTGGCTTACATTTCAACAACACTGTGAATAAAATGGTCACTGCTGCAATAAAGGTAACAATCTTTTTCAAGATGCATGAAGATCTTAGAGTATTTTCCTCAGTATTATATTTTGAGCAACTTAAGTTCAAGATTTTGTATGAATATATCAACTTTGACTCAAGTTTGTCATTTTCTGATTACATCAGAGCCTCATCCAAATCCACTGACATACCTGCTTTTGAGAAGGGGAGAGTTTTTGCCACGTGTCAAATAATTTCTTCAGCTTTGCCTACAGGATATAGAACATGCAATACAGGAGGGTTATTTTAGGAACAGACTGGTCTGAGAGGGGTACAGATGAATGCCACACAAGTGAAAGTCAAACATAAACCAGTGCAAAAAAGCACAAAGTCACACAGGTTTAATCCCCCACCCTTTTAATGTAGGCAAATAATACACTGTATGGTTCAAAACAAGCTGCTGGGCATCATCTGAGCCATGTTTACAGCCTCAGCTGACTGGAGAAGCCTGCCTTGTGCATGGAAAACCAAGGAACAAACTAGATCCACCATCCCAGTTTACTGATTAAATGTGCAGGGTGAGGAACATATTAGACACACAGGGGAGGTCTCCAACACTTCGAGTGCTGTAATCCACCAGTGTAATTTATACCACCCCAAAGTGCAGTTTAGTGCAGAACTTGTGAGTTTGCTGAGGAACTCTGGCATATTCTGTAGGACCACCTGAGCTACAGGAGGTACAGTGAACTCGTACTGCAGGAACAGGAGCAGACCACCACAACTCTTTGAAAAACTAATGTATTTCTAACACCAAACCAAAGAGAGGAATAATTCTCTCCTTACAGAAGGAACAGATGAAGTCTGTAAAACTGAAGTGCAAAAAATACTGCAAATATTTTCAGTCTGTATACCCAGACAGCAGTTTATAAAGGCCATGCCAGCAGCAGTATACAGGCAGATCAGGGCAACCCAAAAAAGGTAACCTGAGCAAAGCAGCATGCAGATATTGAACTACTGAACAATTTCTTTGAAGATGACAGAATCTAAACCAGATTTTTTTGAACACAATGGATCTATTTTAAAAAACAATCTTTCCTGGCTTACCGCAGGTGAAATCCCTTCACTTTCCTGAAATTTTTCTGCCACAAAAATGTTAAGGCCACTACGAGGTCTTTTAGGTTTCCCAAGCACAGTCAATTCCTTTAGAAACAACAAGAAAAGTTATTCCATCAACCAAGCATGCATTTTTTCCAAAACTAAGTTTACCATTCGACTTTATATTTTATACAAAAATCAAACACAAATTCCTTCTTTGGTGTTTTATTCTGTAAACTGGACTCTATGTCATGATGCTCTCAGTGCTTGTCAAGACTGATGCTAAACTAAACTAAGAAAAGCTGACAACTTGAGTTTTCACAGATATAGGAAAAGCATTTTAAACTGATTCTTACTTCAGCTAAGTCTTCCAGAAACCAAAGAATGTTATTAAATTCCTCTGTAAGAAAATCATGATGACAGGTTTTCTATTATTCTTCATAAGGCTTCTGTTTTTGCTGTGAAATACAGCCTGCTTGCAGAGAGGAGGGCAGGTGGTGGACTGTGGGAGGTGAGGAGGTGGAACAGAACCAATTTCCAGGGAAACAGAACTGGGTTTCTGCTATCAGAACACTTTGCCTGCAGGGATGATGGCACGAGAAGGAGAGTACAGCAAGTTATGAATGCAATTACACTTCTTGTTTCCTCCAGTCCTGACATTCCCACTGGAGCCTGGGTGCTGCAAATTAACATCTGCTTAGGTATTAAATATGCTAGCTAAATTCCTTGTGCTGCCATACTCTAAAAAAAGGACCGACACAGTCGTTTGGATTAAAAGCTTCCTCTGAGTAGAGGTCTTTTAAACCAAATTAATGTCACTTTTGCCAGTCAGGGCAATGTCACACCAGCAGTTTAATTCACAGAAGTGAGCAAGCAATAGGTGATTCTGCTGCCAGACCAACCACAATATCATACCTTTAGAGATGGTTCTGTCTCTCAGGATTTATATATAAACCAGCTAGAAGGGAATAGGGAAGATGGTCTGCTTGAATATGCTAGAAAAGGATACTTAATAAACTTAAATAGCCCTAATTCACCATGGCAGCAGCGACACAGACAGCAAAGTAGCAGGGTCCAAAGAAAGGAAGGAAAAAAGGCTACTTCAAAGAGCTGCTAATGAGGTAGGAGATACAAGGCCTTCGTGAAAAGCTATTTCTGGATGTCTTTCCATCCAAAGAAAGTGTTGCTGGTCCAAACACCTTTTATTACCTATCCTTTCTCTGGCAGCTTGTGGAATAGGGAGAAAAAAAGCACAGAGAAGCCACCTTTAAGCATAAAGACACGTGCTAGTTCTGTGTTCTTCAGGCGTAGGAATGCCACGACATCAGCAATTATATTTAGTCCATGGCATTTTGGGGGGGGGTTGTGTTTCTTGTGTGTTTTCTTTTACTCTGAGTTGGTTCTGTATTTCTAAAAACATGCCTCAACTCTGCTCTATATACTAGACAGACTTCAGCTTCCTTGAGAGAAAAAGAAACTTGGAATTTCAAAATGCTTACTCTTTTTGCCCGGAGTGATCTTCTCCTTGCCAGTTGTCTTCTCCTTTCCTCTTTCAAAGCTGCAGCCTGGGCTGGAGTTAGCTGGGCTTTGTATTTGGCCAGCTGCTCCCCGTATCTTTGCCAGTCTGTCTTCTTTGCTTCCTCGTAAACCTACAGCAGAAATCATCACCAGCCTTAAACAGATGCTTTCAGTCACAACCACCTGACCATCAAACAAGCTAACACTTCTAATCTAGGGGGGAAAAAATTACCCTGGAACATCAGACTACCCCCTGTTATCCATTTCAGACACAAAAAAGGAAAAGCACACAGAGTGAGCAGTCCAAAAGGGATATGACAGCACCTCAATTCTACTGAGAAAGGATACTACTTTAGCTAGAAAACTGCAATTAGTTCCTAGCTGCATTTAATTGCTAACTGTAATCAAGGAAGAACAATCAAGGAAGAACCATCACTACTTTCCTATCAATGGCACTTAAAGTCAGCAGTGATTAGCAAGTCCTAGAGTTGTTTTACGTTATCACTTGAAACAGCCACTCTTAGAGAAACTTCACTACTCATGACTAAAAGTTAATTTGATGGCTCTTCAATAAATTTACACGTAGCAAAAAAGAGAGTTTCATCAAAATTAACTGAGGTTTCACTTAGGCACATGAAAGCAGAGTAACTTTACAAAACTTATGTGTACATAATTATCATTTAAAAAGGAAAAATAACCAGTTCCCAGCCCCACAGCCATATGGAGTGAGAGCTGTGCCCTTTCTCTGGCAACAGACTAAAATTATGAAAACCCAGGTCGTGTACAAGTATCAGAGTATCCTCCTGTATTGGGTTTGCATGGCCAGGTTTTGGTGGTGAGGGGGGTACAGGGCTGGCTCCTGTGAGAAGCTGCTCTGTCCAATGGAGCCAATGCCAGCCAGCTTCAAAGGCACCCACAGCTGGCCAAGGCTGAGCCCACCAGGGACAGTGGTGGTGCCTCTGGGATAAGAGCATTAAGAAGGGGAAAAAGAAAACTGCACAACTTCAGCCTGAGAGACGAGTCAGATGTGAGAATGTGAGATTATTTCTACAGATCAGTGGAGAAGGAGGGGAGGAGGTGCTCCAGGTCATGGAGAAGGTTCCCCTGCAGCCTGTGGTGCAGCCCATGGTGAGGAAGCTGTGCCCCTGCAGCCCACAGGGGTCCACAGGGAGCAGAGATCCACCTGCAGCCCAGGGAGGAACCCCACACTGGAGCAGGGGGCTGTGACTCCGGGGGGTCCCACACTGGAACAGCCCATTCATGAGGGACTGCACCCCATGGACAGGGACCAGTGCTGGAGCAGTTCCTGAAGAACTGCAGCGAGTGGGAAAAACTCCCACTGGGAGCAGTTCAGGGAGGACTGTTTCCTGAAGGAGGGCCCCAGCAGGGGCAGAGTGTGAACAGTTCTCCCTCTGAGCAGGAAGGAGCAGCAGAGACAAGATGTGATCGACCCATTCCCCATCCCCCTGTGCCACTGGTGGAACTAGAGAAACAGAGAATGAAACTGAGTCTGGGAAGAACAGGAGGTGCAGGGAAGGTGTTTTAAGATTTAAGTTTTTATTTCTCATTAGCCTGCTTTGATTTGATTGTTAATAAACTGATTTCCCCAGGTGGAGCTTGTTTTGCCCTGACAGTAACCGATGAGGGATCTCTCCCTGCCCTTATCCCAACCCACGAATCTTTCAGTACATTTTCTGTCCTCTGCCCAGCTGAGAGTGGCTTTGCTGGGCACTCAGTGTCCAGACAGGGTCAACCCACCCACTGTGGTGTACTGATGTCTGAACCTTTGTACACACGTGCTTTTAAAACTGTTGATTAAAAACAAACCAACCAACCAAAAAAATCCACAAGGGACACCAAACCAAATAAAACCACCACCAAGACTGTACAGAGTTCAAAGCACTCAGGGCAGTGATACACTCTTACCTGCTTCTGTGCTGCTGGTAACTCCTTCCAAGCACCTGCTAATTTTTTAGTCAGCTCTGTGCTGCTCGCTTCTGCACGTTAAAACCAGAAAGCAAGAAAATAAAGATCAACATTGTATCTGTAGTAAGGTTCTTGGATTTTCCCAAGGAAAGCTGTCACAAGTATCTTTTTCCTGTACAAACATTTTCATCCTTCCATAAAACCACCTTACTGTGGCAGTTAAAGGGAACTGTAGTATTCTGGGGAGGGGAAAGAGTCACTGCTCTTGGTTCAACCTGATGAAGCACAATTTTAAGGCAGCTATTATCACTCCACAACAATTCAATTTTTTTCTTTTGAGATGGATCCTTTTCTATGCAATGCAAGGTGGTCTGAATTTGGAGGGAGGAGCAGGGAAGAAATCAAAAGTAAAATTTCCAGCTCTCCTTTTTTAGCAAAGAGAGTCTGCTGAATTCTTCACAGCAAGTATAATGTGACTTTATTCACCTGATATAGCACATATGCCCTTCTCCTGTTTTACAGTGATCCTTCTGGGTCCCTTCCAACTCAGCACATTCTGTGATTCTATAATCTTTATTAAAGTCCTTTATTTACAATATTATTCAAAAGAAGTAAGGTTAAAAAAAAAAGGTAATTTCCTTCTCCCACAAACAAAATTGGTGACTTGAGTCTACTTTGGTTTTCAGCTGACTGCCTTTGACTCTGGCTCTTGTACCACGGTCATTTGATGAGGCCTTCAGCCAGACTTGAATTTGTGAAGGGGACAAGAATAATAATTACAAAACAGAACCAAAACAAACAAACAAACAAACAATCAATCCTCAACCAAACTTAAGGGTGGTGCAAAAATGATATAAGGTGGTCTTTTCTTGAAAAATCCTTTACAGGCTTTTCCTCCACAATTAAAAAACCAAAAACAGATGAGCTTTTCTCCCACCTCAAATGTAAAGCTCAGCCACCTCAACGGTGGGAAAGCAGAACTAAGCTCTTCTCAGTAACCTGACTTCCAGAAATGTGGAAAACCAAGACAGATGGAGAGGTTTTAGTCCAAGTAGATGAACCTTAAAACCTTTGAAAATACGATGCTTTGGCCAGCGATAAAAGAGAACTAATAAATTATCAAGTTATTTTTGACCATTACCTCTGTTGGGACAAGAAAACCAAAAGTTCTCGATTTGTATATAAGATCCAGTATATTTATTTGCAGATTATTCAGATTTTGAAAACGTGGAAAACACTGGTGTAGTATGTAACTACAATAAGCTCTGATAGTCCAGTTCCCAACCTTTTTGGCTGTGGAACTGTTGAACTGCTGGGCGGGGTATCAAATGGTTTTCCCTACTTTAATTTACCTCAGGGCTTGCCACAGTTTTTTAACCATTTTAACCTTCATTTCAACAGTATTTCAAAACCAGCACAGCTTTCCATTTTGCTGCTTTCTGGTAAGAGCGACTGCGTTGCCTGTAAATAAAGTTTTTGATAGTAAATTAAAAGTATTCACAGAAAACCATTTTCCTCTACGCACATTTACTACTTCTGCCATTTACAGTCGAGACAATCCAGTGCCTATAGTTTCTCAATTACTAAACATAAAAATAAAATCATATGCACCTTGTTATATCAGCAAAAGTATACTTCAAATGCACAGAGGCCCGAAAATAACTGAGACCCACAAATCACTGTTAACATGTACTGCCCAGGTGAGATCTTTCAGCAAACATTTTTAAAGTTATACACACGCTCGTTTTTTTGAGTTACGATGCCCAGAAGGCGGAGATAACACACGTGTAGGCAGTGAGTACGGCCACGCTGGATTCGCTTGGGGCACGCTATGGGTAAACAGACGGGTTGGGTCTCTAAAATCAGGGTAATGGACTTTCGTTCCCTCACGCGGTTCGGTTTTACACGGACATTCCGGCTCAGCCCCGCTCGGGGGGCGCAGGCCGCGTCCCCGCTCCCGCGCAGAGCGAACCGCGGGCCCCGCGGACTCGCCTCCCCTCATACCTCGTACCTGGGTTCTTTTCCCTGAACGCCGAACGGTTTTCCATCATAAAACGGAAATAGGCGGTGAGGGGCCGCTTCGGGCGCTGATCCGAGCTGATCCCCCGGGACAGGCACTGCTCCGCCGCGCCACCGGCCCTGCACACAACGGCACCGCCGGTCACCGCCACCCCACCGAGGCGGGCCCCGCTCCCGCCGCCCCGCTCCCCGCAGCCCCGCTCCCGCCCCGCACCTGAGGAGCCGCCGCCCTCCCGTGACCAGGCCCAGGCCCAGCCCCAGTGCCAGGCCCGCGGCCCGGCCCAGCGCCGCCGCCGCCATGCCGGCCCGGCCCACACCGCGCCTGCGCGGGACCGCGCCGAGGGGCGGGGCCGCGGCGCCCTCACAAGGTGACCGTGAGCGCGGGGCTGTGCCCGGCGCCGGCAGAAAACTAAAACACAGTCCAGAAAACTAAAACACAGTCCAGAAAACTAAAACACAGTCCAGAAAACTAAAACACAGTCC